TACTACTACTACTAATAATAATAATAATAATAATAATAATAATAATAATAATAATAATAATAATAATAATAAAGTTGGAAGGGACCTTGGAGGTCATCTAGTCCAATTCCCTGCTCAGGCAGGAAACTATATCATTTCAGACAAATGGCTATCCAATCTCTTCTTAAAGTCTTCCAGTTTTGGAGCATTCTCCGCTTCTGGAAGCAGGTTGTTCCACTGATTAATTGTTCTAACTGTCAGGAAGTTTCTCCTTAGTTCTAGGTTGCTTCTCTCCTTGGTTAGTTTCCATCCGTTGCTTCTTGTCCTGCCTTCAGGTGCTTGGCAATTGACTCATATATATGACGGTTGCATTGACCCAGGGTCATGTGATCCCTTTTTGCGAACTTCTGACAAGCAAAGTCAATGGGGAAGCCAGATTCACTTAACAACCATGTTACTAACTTAACAACTGCAGTAATTCACTTAACAAATGTGGCACAAAAGGTCGGTAAAATGGGACAAAGCTTAATTAACAAATGTCTCACTTAGTAACATAAATTTGAGGCTCAATTGTGGTTGTAAGTACGGGACTACCTGTACTTTGAGAGACTACTGAATTTTCATTGAAAACTGGAATTAAAATGCAATGTTTTATGTACATCAAAATACATCTGAACAGATGACAATATAGACACTTCCATGGTATCACGGTTTTTATTTTTCAGTCCCTCAGAACCAAACTGAAAGTCACTTGTGTTCTCTTTACTTCTGGGGATCTGAAACACTGAGAACGAGGAATAAAAATTACTGCCTTGTTTTGAGCTGCCTGAGAGTCTAAAATAATAATAATAATAATAAAAACCTTATTCTCACGGTAAACCAGAAAAGGAATTATAAATACCATGGTATATTGCATGTGGGATTCATTTCTTGAAAAAAAAAAAAGAGGAAACTGACAGAGATTTATTAATTCATTTTGTTATGAAGAAAAAATGCAAATGTTCCAAGCCAGAATTTCCCTTACAGGATCTGCTAAGGGAGATGAGTTCAGGCACAGAGAACAGATAAGACAAGTTCTCTCCAAAGAAGAAACTGTGTGCTTCCAAGTTCTACAGAATTACAAAATTTCTTGATGAAATCCATTTACAGCAGTTCCTCTTGTACCACATATGAGCTTGAGGTAAATCAGTTCAACTGCGGAAGAGCTGCTGGGGCAAGTCATCGCAAAGGGGAGAAGGTCATTGTGAAGTAGGACCTGTGAAGGTTCATTTTGGGATGCAAAGTAGATCTCACACATATCAGCACAGAAGAAATTGAATGGAAGTACTTGAGATAATATGTAAAATTACATAATCACAGCACATTAATAATTGGAAATGAAAGGGCAGACTTGTATCTTGAGGTACGATTTTTAGAATATTAATGGTAGTGGGTAATCTATTTTCTTTGCATATGAACCTTAGAAAATCAAGGACTACTTCAAAAATGAGTTTTCTGTATTTTCTATTGGTTATCTTGTATCAAGAGCCTTCTTCAATTGTTCTTTAAAAAATTGTTGAAAATATGGTCATGCCATCTCATAGTCTGAAGTTCTACCTGAATCCTCTTGCTTTCCCTCATCTCCTCATCTTCACATGGGAGATCCAAGGGAGAACTGAAAATCACATTTGATTGACCTTCACTTTAGTTCTTTTTCTAGTCTGGAACTCTGGGGCATATTATTTACCAATTCAACTAACTTTACACCTCAGACTGAAAAACAAGAGACAGGAGTAACGGAAGATTTTAGAGGATGTAATCCTTGAAGATACTTTCCTCTATGTTCTTTAAGTCTCCCAAGTCCATTAAGAATGACTGATATAAAATGTTTTATAGATGGCATTTTCCACCTGTTAGATTAGCAGAAATGTTTTAAAATATGTCTAGCAAATGTTGGAAATGTAATCAAAATTCTGGTACATATTATCACTTGTGGTGGACATGTGTAAATACATACGTGGTTAGAAAAAAATTAGGAAAACATGGAGCAACTTTTTTTTACTAGGCATAATACCAGAAAAGTTTGATAAACAAAATGTATATTTAACATTACATGTATTAACTGCAGTGAGGATTGTATTTGCACAGCACTGAAAAAATAAAACAACACCATTGGAGGAAGCGATAATTAAGAAAATATTGGACTGTGCGGAAATGGACAGGCTCACATAGAGAATTAAAGGAAAAGAAGATATAGTATACTTTCAAACATGGAACTTATTTTATCAATGGTTCGAAAAGCGAGATAGAGAGTAAGAGCTTATCTTTATGACTAGGCAAAATCAACCCAGACAACACACTGTTTTTTAAGCATAAATGAATTGTAATAATAGAAAACTAATAATAAAAAAAGAATGACTGAATCATGCTTCCATGTACCTGCAACTCATAGGTTAATGTCTGTGTTAAGGCCAACCACACTGACTTCAAAATGTCTATTGTCTCTGAGAAAGGATAAGAGAAAGGGAAAAGGTATGCTTACCTGTTTTAAAATACCTGCTGCCATCTCATGACTGCAGTCAAAGATGACGTGGAATTCTTTGCCTCTTTTCATCTCCTTGAGCAAAGGCTTGGCATCCTTGGTGTCAGAGGGTAGCTGGCGAATTTTTAGACGCAAATTGTACCTTGATGGAGCCTTAATAAGTTCTTGCAATCGAATGAGACCTTTGTTCAGAGAAATAAGATAAGACAAAGGGTTTCAGAAGATACATTATAGTAAGAACAAAAGGAGGCTATCAAAATGCTAATAAACTGACACAAGAGCTTCTAGCTTATCATCACTGCTGTACTTCTAAAATGTGTTTCCTTTTCATTTACTGACCATTATATAAAGTATGTACATAAACCAACATTTGAAAACAGTACATGAGTACTTCCTCGCCAAAGCCTCTCCCTTTCCTTCTTTGCTAATATTGATTGAAAAATAAGGAGCTCAGCTTACCCCATGAAACAAATCTTCCTTATTTGAGAATTATGCTAATTTTCTTCCTCATAATAGGTAGTGGCACATTAATTGATTTAGACCAATATGTTTCACTAATAGTTTGTAATCACCCTATTTTAAAAATCTTGCATATAGATTTCCTTCATTAGGCTCTGCATGGACCATCCTCAGATCATCTGCATCAATGTTCTGAAGATATTTAGCCTCCTTAATCATATAATTAGGATTGCTTCATTCATTGCAATAATTCAGTTATTAAGTTATGCATGACAGAAACTAAAGCTGCCATATTAGAGATTTTACCAGGTGCACTAACCGCATGAGGGAAAACATTCTATATCTGCAATTTTTAAAAAAGGGCATTTGCATATTGGGATAGAATAACATTGAACTTATAGATTTAACAGGCCATCGCAACCCCGCCAAAAAATAAATGCATACAAAATGCAGTGTTACAGAATAAGAGTCAGACTAATATGGCAATAGAGTGACAGAATTTAAGATTGAAAAAACATGAAAATATGAAAAAAACAGATTTAATGGAGGTATCACATATTTTTGTCCAAATGGATATTTAGCTAAGGGTTAAGTCTATAATTTCATGTTCATATTCAACACAGGTTCGGCTGTCTAAAACATATTCCCATCTGCAGTAGGTAAAGCCTTGCAATATAAATCCAAGATGGAATGATATTATAAACTATGGGCATGCATCCGTTCAGTGTTATTTGATATATTATTAACTGGGTGAAAGTTTCCCCTGATACCAACCAAATGGCTTGTCCTTATATTAGATTCTTTTTTAAAATTAAAATGTATATAAGTAAGAAGTTATATGTAATGCGGTGAAGTGTCAGCCTCCAACATAATTTTTGTTCCCAAGAATGTATCTTAATCCAACATAGTCCTTCAGAAGCATCTTTTAAAAATAAAAATGGTATGAGCTGCAATCAGATATTTTATTTGAAAATTTGCTCACAGAGCAGGAAGAAAAACAGAAAGGCAAACTGGGAACATACTGTAAAAGGCAGGGTGGTAGTGCTGGATAGATTGGTAGGGAACAACCTCATCAATGCTTCTCAGACATGGGTGAGGTTCACCATAACAATCATATTGCAAATTATCAAAGAGGCGATCAATGCATTCTCCCAAAATTCCAAAAGTCCCCATTGCTGAAAAAGTAAATGAGAATAAATCAAGACCGCTAAGATTATCAATGTTAAATCTATTTCCCTCAGAATCTTGACTGCAGTCTCCAAATTTGGTGTCAAACTGTAGTTTTTAAAATGAAGAGAACTAGAAATTAAGATTACATGACTGAAAGAAAATTTGTATTTGATTTTTATTAAAAATAAATTACATTATATCTGTTTGCTTTTTAAACAAACTTTAATGAGTTTCAGAAAGAAATAAAATAGAAAGTAAAATAAAAAGGGGAGAGGAAGAGATTAAATGGGTAAAGAAGTTAAAAAGTGACAAAAATATGAAAAAATACAAAAGGAAAAACTTTTGACTTTCTTTGGTATAGATACAAGTGTATAATAAAGTACTTCTTACTCTAAGTTAAAACAAAAAGACAAAAACATAATATTAAAAATACACAAATTAAATAACCAAAATAACACTACAGCTATATAATAAAATAACCTCTTACTCTAAATTTAAGAATAAAAAGTACAAGATATACATGTCTAATAATAACAATAAAATGCACAATATTTCTACAATCATAACTGATCAAATTGTGAAGTTTTTGTCTGTGTTTTTTAAATGAATCTCTCATAGGCCAAATATGACCCTGAACATAGCACAATTACACAACTCTATGTAAATGAATACTTAGAATTAATGTTGGGAATTCAGACAGTGGAATAAGGACTGGATGAAAACTACTTTCTTTAAAAATGATAAATATATTTTCTACATACTATATAGCTTTGGTGATGTTTATTAAATGTTAACATCAATCACAGACTTCTTGAATTTTAAATATTTTATTAGATTGTGACCCAATCTGTAAAAAGCAACTCTGAGTGATTTACAAGTTGTAGGAGTGTAAAAATCACTCCTGCAAAACCATAAAAATACCTCAAACCATTTTTTTACCATTTAGGAAAATAAGTAAATAATCTGTTTTAAGCATCATGAACTATTCTTAGCTCACTAGTACACAAAAATGAGAATTAACATTTTTATCCTTAGTTGGCAGGCATTTTACTATAAAGTTTCTTGATAAATGAGACCATAAAAATGCTAAGAAAACTATTAATGCTGGACTACAGAAAAACTGATTACCTGGAAGCACCTTAGCATGTTTATACTGTAGTAAGGTAGAATTGCGCAGTTTAGTTTCCAGCAAAAAGCTTTTGACATCACAGTATTTATTAGCTCTATATACATGTCATTTTCTTTTTAAAAAAATCAACAAATATCTCTGCAGGGTTCATAATGCATTTCCTGCAGACCAATTTCCTGATTATAGCTGTCTTCAATTATCAATAGTCCTTGGCTTACAGTCAGTAGTTTAGCAACTCTTTGGAGTTATGATAGCCTTAGAAAGGATACACCAGTTCTAGCCAACACCCATTCAGGAGATTGGGTTTGGACTTACAATTGTGTGATTTGCTTAATGACCACTGTGAAAACAGTTGTAATATTGTGTCAGGTTATGTGGGTGCCTCAACTTACAACTGTCATGACTTACAATTGTAATTCTGTCCAATGGCTCCTTTTTCCTGCAGACACTTGGGAATTCAAAGTTAATCTTGCTGAGAAAAACTGAATATGCAACTTACATGGAATTCAGCAAACCGGTATTTATGAAAAACTTTCAGTCTAGCAAATAGATTTCCTAAAGGCCAGTTTCCATCATCTTTGAACAAGGTGTATAGAAAAACTATTCCAAATAATTCAGAAAGATGACGCCAGTAAAGATCATTTTGTGTCTGATTATCATTTATGAGAGCTGGCTTTCAATATCACTTTAGCAGTTTAAAACTATGAAGATTAGATTAATCTAACACTATATCATATAGAACAAAATAGTAAGCATAATCTTGTCCAATATAACAACTAGGCAAGCAGGATTGTAAATTATCTTGTTTGGATGCTAGATTACTCCTTGCATTATGTGTGCTAAGATGCTGAATACGTAAGAAGGGTGAAGAGGAAGAATAAAAGAATAATAAATTAACCTATCACTAATTGATTGTCAACTGTGTGCTACAAATTCATCCACAGAAATTTACACTTATACCCCATCATCAGAAGATGATGCATTAACCATTCACGAATGTTGAGTATATGAATGGATTATCAATGAAGCCATAAGAATGCCTCACTAAAAACTATTTAACTAACTTGATTTATAAAAATTCAATAGAGTTTTCTAAGAGCCTCTTGGAAAAAAATTAATAGCACTCTGCCAACCATGGAACACTGGAACTCTTAAAAGTTATAAGAGAAGACAAAGAGGAATGACAAAGAAGAGAGGAACAAACACTAGAATATGTAGGAATTAAGGTGGCTGCATTATGCTATGTTATTCCATTGGTGCAACTTGCTCATTGTTATATGAAGTGACTGACACTGTTCTCTAGGATTTCAGATATGAAACTATTCCAGCCCTGGAAATATTGGGAATTGAAGCTGACATCTTCTTCATGCAAAGTAAAAATCTCACTGCTTAATAAAATATATCCTGACCAAATAAATATTATTATTAGTATTGCAGGCTAAAGTATAGGATTTAGAACTTGAACCCATGGGCAAATGTAGTATGCTAATGAGAATTTTCAAAGGAGGCGGCACCAATAAATGATAAGACTGAACATTTCTCTTTTCTCTACAGGAGAAAAAAAGCAGCTTTCATATTATGCAGTATTATGGGTTGTTGAGTAAACCATAGCAACATGATTCATGCATAATACTAAGCACTGAGTTAAGGGGTTGGTTCCTACATTGCACTCACAGAGATAAACAACATTATACTGTAGTTCAAGACAATGGTCCTAGAAATATTCTATAGGAAGTTTCACCATGAATCTATAATGTCCTGAATTTAATAATCAAGAATGAAACCAAATATCAAACCTGTAAAAGCAAAGAAAAGCTATTCATATCTTATAACTTGCTCAGAGTATTCAAACTTTTCAGCCCAGATAGCATATCTCGTTTCCAAGAAAATATGCTATATTTAAATCTTCCATTTCCCATCCACCTTATTGTAGTAGAAAATAAACAGATAATAGAAATGTCATTATGGTTCCTGCTTATTTCTCAGGCTCACAGGAAGATTGGAATTGTAATCATAATGTAGGTATGAATGGTTATTTAGTGATTAGTTTATATTTGAATGTCACCTGTATTAGTTCATCTGAGAAAACTTAACACTGAGCTAAATTTAAATAAGACTGACAATCAAATGTAACCTTAATTATGCTAATAAGAAAAACACAGGTTAAAACTGAGAAACGTTGTCTTGGAGAAAAAGACAAGTAGTCACATTGTACTTTAATCCAGCTTTTCTTTGGAAAGATGTTTCATAATTGGAATGTCAGAAATGAAAAAGGTTCTTTCTTACTCAGTTCATTTGTTCATTAATTCAATCAACCAGTAGAGCTAAAAATGGTGTTGGGACTTATTAGCATCTTGTACTTTAAAAACTGTCTGACAATGCACCTTTAACTGCCTGAGTTTTCATTTTCTAGTATTATTAATT